GGTATACGAGTGAAAGAAAAATTTATAACAGAATAGTGGATAATCCAGACTGGGATTCCAATCCGAGATCTTGTTTCTTTTTGTATATTTTTTTTTGCAAATAAATTAGCAATAAGTCTGAATGGTCGTCTGATAAATTATATCAACATATATTTCCATGGTAATTATCTTCTGATTTCGATAGTATAGCAATGACACTATCATTCGAAACTCTAATCGACTCCAATTGAAGTAGAATATGCTACTACTGGGCGAAAATTCAACTTTCCAAATTTGTAAAGTACGAATTTTGGTTAATCATTGACATATATCAATGGTTATCTTCTAACTCGTGCAAAAAAAACTCACAAATAAGGAAAATTAGTAAGTCAATTGAATTCTGATTTATATCGAAGACTGGAGTTCCACAATAATTATATATAGGAGAAAAAAATGTTTGATTTGCCTGATCCATGACCATACGTACCAATACACTGTATAAATTGAATTTTTGAAACTCTTGAATGATATTAGGTTGATATGACATCGAAAATGAGAAACTTAGATTTCACCGATTATAATGCTTTCATTTGGAAATAGTAAAATGAAAAAAATTTTAAACGGAGTAGCAAGGCATTTGTATGACAATTTCTGTAGCTCTGCGTTTCAGATAAAAATAAATACTGAAATGTTCTGGTCTGTCTTAGAACGGGGAGACTCCCCTGCACCTAGCCTGCAGAAACTGCAAGTCGGAGGTGGTGCGTAAGCTGATAGAATTCGTGAAGGATAAATTGGGCGCTCAAACAGCAACATCTTATATAAACAGTCTGACAAACGAAGGAGCATCTGCGCTGCACTACGCAGCACAGATAGATCCAAAAACGGTGAGAGAACCGGGCGACGATCGAGCTGTGGTGCGGGCGCTGCTAGAAGGTGGTGCAGACGTGTCTCTGGTGACCCGTCAGGGCCAGGAGTCAGCGTTCCACCAATGCGCAGCAGCTGGCAACAACGAAGTTCTCTCGGAGATGATAAGCTACCTATCAGTAACAGAAGTGCAAAAAGCCCTCAATAAACAGAGCGCAGTTGGCTGGACGCCGCTGCTGATAGCCGCGCATCGTGGACACGAGGAGTTGGTTAAAAATCTCTTGGCGAATCATGCTAGGGTTGACGTGTTTGATCTAGAAGGTAGATCAGCACTGCACCTGGCCGCCGAGCGAGGCTACAGAGGTGTCTGCGATGCCCTGCTAGGCAGCAAGGCCTTCATCAACTCAAAATCAAGAGTGGGCAGGACAGCGTTGCACTTGGCATCGATGAACGGTTACGCCGATCTCGTCAGATTTCTCGTTCAGGATCATTCAGCAGCTATTGATGTGTTGACCCTGAAGAAACAGACACCCCTGCACCTGGCAGCTAGCTCGGGGCAGATGAAGGTGTGCGAAACACTTTTGGAACTCGGTGCAAGCATCGACGCGACTGATGAACAAGGGCAGAAGCCCATTCATGCCGCTGCTATGAACAATTACTCAGATGTTGCTCAGCTTTTTTTGCGCACCCATCCGAGTCTCGTCATGGCATGCACCAAAGATGGAAACAGCTGCGCTCATATCGCTGCCATGCAGGGCAGTGTTAAGGTCATTGAGGAGCTCATGAAGTTTGATAGACAGGGCGTGATTTCGGCGAGGAACAAGTTGACTGAAGCAACACCACTTCAACTCGCTGCTGAAGGAGGACATGCTGAGGTCGTCAAGGCACTCGTCAGGGCAGGGGCTTCGTGCGCGGATGAAAATCGCGCTGGTTTCACAGCTGTTCATCTTGCTGCTCAGCATGGACATGGACAGGTACTCGAGGTCATGCGCTCCTCTCAGTCACTCAGAATATCCAGTAAAAAACTCGGCGTTACTGCACTTCATGTCGCTGCCTATTTCGGCCAAGCTGGTGAGTCTTCTGATGATGAAGCGTGGCGTGGCTGCGGGTATTGGGGGTTTGGACAGAAATAGAATTCCATTCGGGGATTTATAGATTTTCTGGGGCCATTGAAAGTTTGAACATTGTTTTGGGGTTATTCTTGGATTGGGGAGGATCTCTTCGAGTTTGGTTTAGGGGTTACGTATCATAGAATTTTGTTGAAAAATTCAAAACCTTTTGATTTTGTTTCTATCACAAATTTCGAAAATTGTACAATTAACGAATCAAATTATTAAGTCGAAGGTTTATTAAAAAAAATGGATAATAAATGAAGTTTTAACATAATGAATAAAAAATTGCCAGGAATTTACCGTTGACTAGGGCTCCAATGAATTTCACAAAAAAATGGCCAAATTATTCTAAGAATTTCGGGAGCGTGTAGCCCCGCATTTCCGGGTTCCACTTGATCGCCAGAAGTCAACCCCTCATATTTCATGTTAATTACGCGGAATGTAATCGCAATTTCCCTGATGTAAGAATCTAGGTCGTTGGTCTTTTTTAGTCGCCCAACTGCCGCATAAATCTCCCTAAACATTCAAATTTCATTATAAGGATCCGAGCCAATTCAAATACCCAAGAAAATACGATTGATATCTTCAAATTAGCCTTTATATCCCAAGTGACACACACTCTTGACCTCCTGACCGTCATATAGAAATAGCTGGACTTGCTGATATTATCAAAGAAAAAAAAAAGGAAAAAAAGTGCTGATGATTCGCGTGACCACAGGCCTCTATTCGAAACCCCTCCGCCGGCCCTAAACCTCAAAACCGAGGAAGAGAAAATATGAATGCACGCATCACGCAAAGGCGGTGTTAATCCTCCCTTGAATTCATATCCTCAACAATACCACAGCAGTGAAAAAAAAAATCATATTTCGTTGAGACACGTGACACGTGGTACCAGGGCGCGTGCCAACCGATAGCACCGTTAATTTTTCTTTCTTCCTATTCTTCCACCGTCGGAATCGATCGACCTAATAACGTTATGGTCAATAAATATATTTCTTAGCACAATGTTTTCAAGTTACGAGGGAAAGTGGGCAAGAGGTCACGCGCCCGAGATAAGTCGATGCGATTACAGGACCTTGCAAGGTCTCGGTACAATCTACATGTGAGACTTGACCGTTTTAACGACTAATCAATGGTATCAGCAATTCCTTTTATGATTTCAATTCTGAGAAGATTGTTAATTTCATCAGATACCGTACGAGAGCTGCTGACGCACGTTCCTGGAACCGTTAAGTCAGATCCTCCAGCGGGGAATTCCCTTGTTGGAGAACTAGGCAGTGAATCCGGTATGACGCCACTGCATCTGGCCGCTTATTCCGGAAATGAGAATGTCGTGAGACTGTTGCTGAACTCTGCTGGAGTCCAGGTATTTTAGTTCGTACGATCATGAAATTCTAGGAGTCATTCTTGTGAGGATAGGGCCGGCCGATTAGCATCCTTATGAAGGGAAGAAAAAACGCCGTAATAATAATTTTAAAAAATATATATATCATGTTTATTCATAAAATCAAATACAATATAATAATTTTCTATGGCTATTACTTCAACTAGTTAATTCTGAGTAAGAAGTAAAATTCTAAAGGGGTTTGAGGGTATTTTTCCAAACCACCGACCTCAGTAAAATATCCTCTTCTATAATTTATACTGGTAAAAGTAACGTGGAGTTGGACAATGGTTTCTTGTGAAACCATTGTTTATGTTTACAAAAACTCTGAGGAGACTCCGTGGAAATCTCCATATCGATTCATTTTTGTAATCATCATAAATGAGTTCAATACATTTCTATGAATATTAACTTGATATTCTAAAAATAAATTTAACGAATTATAGAAAAGGTCCATAAACTTTTCTTCTGACTATAGCTGCAGAACATCCTTAAATGGATATATAAGTTTTATATATTTGTCCGATACATTCAATTTTTCCATTACATGACGAAAGAAAATTAATGTTTAAGAATTTTGACATTCTACGACTTTCGCGCCCGTAAACTCTGGAGCTCCATAACTTTTATAGCCTTCGAGAATCAATTCAATCGAATTTTCCGGAGAAAATGTCCAGTTCTTTAATGAGATTTTTTCATATGCCATTAAATCCGTAGGTGGAAGCAGCGACGACGGAAAACGGTTACAACCCTCTTCACCTGGCGTGCTTCGGTGGTCACATAACAGTCGTCGGTCTCCTCCTAAGTAGATCAGCGGAACTGCTTCACAGTTCCGATCGTAGTGGCAAAACTGGGTTACACATAGCTGCAACTCATGGCCATCACCAAATGGTGGAGGTGCTGCTGGGTCAGGGTGCTGAGATTAATGCCACAGACAAGAATGGGTGGACTCCGCTGCATTGCGCAGCGAGGGCTGGACATCTGGATGTGGTCCAACTCCTGGTGGAAAGTGGAGCATCACCAAAAAGCGAAACCAATTTGGGATGCGTACCTATCTGGTTCGCTGCATCTGAGGGCCATAACAATGTTCTTAAGTATCTCATGGAAAAGGAGCACGACACTTATGCTCTTATGGAAGACAAACGAGTAAGCTTTACTACTAAATAAATTTTATCGAATGAAAAGGATTAATGATACTAACCGCGATTGCTTCGATTCCTTCAATAGTTGCAATTTATTCGGGAATATACTGTCTATTCATCAGCCAAGAAACTCATACTATACGGAAAGACCAAAAAGCAATGTCCTACTTATTACTTGTTACAGTTTGTCTACAGTTTGATGGTCTGCAGCAAAAGCCACAACAACAAATCAATTGAGGAGTTCGTGCTGGTGTCCCCAGCGCCAGTGGACGCAGCTGCAAAGCTCTCGAACATTTACATAAAGCTCTCGGAAAAGGAGAAAGAACGAGCGAAGGATCTGATAGCAGCAGGAAAGCAGTGCGAGAGCATGGCAACAGAGCTTTTAGCACTGGCAGCAGGTGCAGACTCAGCAGGAAGAATTCTCACAGCGATGGATCGACGAAATGTGGAATTTCTGGACGTTCTGATCGAGAACGAACAGAAGGAGGTGATCGCCCACACAGTGGTCCAGAGATATCTCCACGAGTTGTGGCGAGGCAGTCTGAATTGGAGTGCCTTTCGATCAATGTTATTGTGGTTTACAATGGTCTTCTGCCCACCCGTTTGGGCTGTCTTTGCACTGCCCCTTGGACATAAGTACAACAACATACCAATCGTCAAATTCATGTCGTACCTGACCTCCCACGCGTACTTAATGATATTCCTATCTTTAGTCGCTATAACACCCCCCTATCCAGTTATGAGAAATAATCTGATGCCCTACAGCTATGAGTGGTGCTTGCTTGTTATGCTGTCGGGATTATTACTCTTTGAACTGACAAATCCCAGTGACAAAAGTGGTCTAGGATGGATTAAACTCGCTGTACTACTTTTCTCCATATGCGGTGTTGCATTTCATCTCGTTGCCTGGCGTTTCTTTCCAAAAGATCTCTGGCCAACTCTCCTCTACCTCCGCAATCAGCTCTTCGCACTGAGTTTTCTACTGGCATGCGTTCAAATACTGGATTTTTTGTCCTTTCATCATCTGTTTGGACCCTGGGCTATCATCATTGGAAATCTTATGAAGGATCTTGCGAGGTTTCTCGCTGTATTAGCCATCTTCGTGTTTGGATTCTCCATGCACTTTGTGGCGCTGAATCAGGCTTTTAAGGACAACACTTACAAGAAGGATCAACTCTTTGCTGACAGTAAGCTTTCAGTTATTTTGTAAATCATCGGGTGCTGCCTTGAAGCTACTAAATATACTTGAACAAAGAATTTCTATAGGTATTCAATAAATATTTGCTTTGGCCGTCGAGTGAAGACTTCAAGGCAGTACTCTTGGTTTGAAAAGAGAATAGTTTGAAATGTAGAAACTAATGAAATATCAGTAGGAAAAGTAGACAAATCTCGTTTATAATTGAGGGTAGTATTTTAATACGGATTGTACCTTTCAATATTACGGGACAAACCGACGTGGGTTTGAAGGATTTTTCACCGAATTCGATAGAACGCTTTACAGTTTACATTAAAAAATTACGAAAAATATGAAACGTGTTGTTTTGTCCCGGCAATATTTGATGCCTTGAGAGGTGATGCCTTCACCATGATCCATCATAAACAGAAACATAACATATAATCTGAAATATTAGATTTATTGGCGAATGATACTGAGTGGATGGGACCAACGCCAATGGTAACCCGTCATCGCTCCGGCCGCTACAAGAAAAAGAATGATTGTTGTGACGATAGTGCCCGAGATAGTAAGTCATGACGACCGCCGGCAAAATGATCAATACAAACAAAACAAAAAACAGAAAAAACTGCTACTCGTTGCCTCGGTGTCGTCCCGTTTGCAATGCATATGTCTTTGTTCTTAATTGTTTATGAATTAATGATGCGAGTATGTGTTGCCTATTTGAGATTGATCCACAGCTATATGGAAAGGACAACCAGGAGTATTGATTTGTCGTCTTGCGAATATGAATAACTTGTTGATTCTGTAGTTGAACGAAACGGGAAAATGAGTTTCGTCCAACCACAGAGTCCCGACCACGTCGTGTTCAAAGTCCCAGGTGTCGAACACCACCTGGTACCTAAAAATGGGCGAAAAAAATCCCACGAACTTGCATGTGTATGTTCAACGATTCCCCAAAAATTCCACAGTTTGTCCCTGTGGCTGTTTCATGTTCCTGCGCATGAAGTCCACTGCGCAATAAATGTTGAACGTGCACGGTGAAATAATTTTCTTTTTGTACAAAACAAAAAAGTGTCTTGAATAACGCAAAAGTGCTAAAACCAAGTGCAAATCGCAATACAACGACGAAAAAACCATTGACATTTGAAAAACAAAAAAAAATAAATAAATAAAAGGAATGAAGGTGCCCGAGTTATGGCATGCATCACGATATGTGCAACCAAGAATCAGCAGCATCCGAACAGCATGGCCGCTATATAATTACCTAACTAAAACGCATGAGCATGTTTCGTTGGTTCGTATACATGATTCAATACACAATGTAGCTAATCTGCTTCATACAAAATCAATACCGCTGTATCGAGCTAACGATAATGAATCACCAATAATCATTGACGCTTTTGCAGTTAAGATGAATCCATTACTTGCATTTGAATATCTCTTCTTCGCTGTGTTTGGACAAACAACACACAGCGAACTCAAAGTTGAGACTGGACAACCTGAATGGACGTCGGCCCTTTTCAAATTGACCTTTGGCGTTTACATGCTGGTGTCGGTTGTTGTATTGATTAATCTACTCATTGCCATGATGAGTGATACCTATCAGAGAATTCAAGCGCAGTCTGACATCGAGTGGAAGTATGGACTTAGTAAGCTCATACGAAATATGCACAGGTCAGTTTTGTAATATCAAAATTGTATATAAATTCTCATCAATCAATCTCTAGTCATATCTGTAAGAATTTCTATTGAATTCCGAGTTGTACCAGAGAATTACATTAGATTTGTAGGCCTTGTCGTGTTGATTTTTATTCACAAAACCGACATATATGATGATTTTAAAATAGAATTTCAATAGAATTTTTCAGAAGCGCAAGGTTTTCTGGAATTTTTTAATGATAAGACATGGAAAAAGGAGATGAGGAGATGATGAAAGTTGATGTCTAACTTACTAGGACCACAACAGCCCCATCGCCGTTGAATCTCTTGACAACTTGGATGGTTTATTTCATAAAATCCTGCAAGCAGCGAGCGATGAAGAAGAAACGTCCATCATTAGTCCACATGATGGGCTTACAACGGACAGGTCAGTTATCCCCGCGATCTAAAATGGGCGCAAAGTGGCTGTCAAAAGTGAAAAAAGGTCAGATTCGTCCGAAAGACAGCCTGGGGCACACGGGAAATGTTCACTTGAGTCCCCTCGGCAGTCAATTATCCTTCAACACTGCATTGAGGATTGAGAGTGTAGTGGATTGGGATGCAATTAGCAAGAAATATCTCATTCTCACTGGTAACGAGCCAGAGAAAGAGCTTGAGAAGGAGGAGAATCAGGACGAGATGGTGACGGAGGAGGAAAATGGCTTCGGTAGTTCATCGACGCCTATACCAACTTCATCAACTCCCCCTATTTAATTGTTGTCAGTTTGTAGAGATGTGATAATAAAGGAGAGAGGGTGAAAGTTATTTTTCGATGTCATTTACTTTTCTCAACGACCTTTCCAGTATGCCGTTAAACCAGCAATCACAATGAACTCAACGTTCAGTAAGTCTTGATAAATAAAAGAAACAATTGCGCGCATGTGAAATTATCGGCAGGAGATGACAAAGCAACAAGCAATACACCAACACTAATATCGTTACTCAAATATTTCTGCAAAATTTTCATCACCTTTTGCATCAGCGGCCAGTGAGCATTCTACGCATGAGAAATAAAAACATAAAGAAACTTTACGCTTTCTCAGAGAAATTACATTGAATTTTCATGGGGACTGTAAGATCCGAGTATAGAGCAGAATAAATTGTGCCAATAGAGTACCTGTAAATCTTTTTCTGAATTTCCCAGAGAAAGCAAAAAGTTTTTCGACAAAATTTTTTCGACAAAATTTTTTCATTCGTCCCCAGCCTCGCAAATAACGAGCAAATATTTCCAGCGAAGACTAAAAAATCTATCTACTCCCCAAAATCACAAACAATAGCCTTAGCCCGAAAATTTTCGTAAGCATGAACTCGAAACTTGCATGAACCGGAACTGAACATAAAATGCCAAATGCATGATCTCTCAATCAAGAGCGACGATATAAATTTATTGGATGGTATTTGCAGTGGTGATGAGTCCAATACTGGCAGGTGAGTTGCTCTTCTTCGCAATCTTCGGACAAACGACTCACGAGCATTTTCGAGTGGTGAAGAAGAGCCAACAGTCGAGTTTCACAACGGTATTCTTCAAATTGGCATTTGGAATATATATGCTGGTATCGGTGGTTGTGCTAATCAATCTCCTTATTGCTATGATGAGTGATACCTACCAGAGGATACAAGCACAGTCTGACATCGAGTGGAAGTACGGCTTGAGTAAATTATTTAGAAATATGCACAGGTATGAGAATTCCCCAAGAACAAAAGCCCCAAACACTTGAAAATCACTAATGACCAAATCACTATTTCTCCACTAGAACAACAACAGCCCCATCTCCCCTGAACCTCATCACAACCTGGATGACCTTTTTATGGAAACTGTGTAGAAAGCGAACAGCGAAGAAGCATAGACCATCACTAATCCATCTAATGAGTCTCCATCGATCCAGCAGACTGTCTCCACGCACCAAAGTCGGTGCAAAGTGGTTATCCAAGATAAAAAGAACTCAGGTGGGGCACACCGATCGTGTCGCCATGTCAGTTGGACACCTGAGTCCCCTAGGAAGTCAATTATCCTTCAGTAATGCATTGAGAATCGATACCGTAGTAGATTGGGATGAGGTGAGAAGAAAATACCGAGCCCTCTTCAGCAACGAGCCAAAAGATCACTCACTAGAAGAAACACCAGAAAACCTTGACACAGAGCAGATAATGATCGTCGAAGAGACTGCCCCCTTCAAGCCCTAATGTACTTCCTCCGATAAGTAGAAACAATAGCCAAGTAATTTGAATTCATTTCAAATTACCAAACTGTGAAAATCCACATAAATTCATTACCTTACGCATCTCGTTCTGATACTTATGATTAGATATTTGTTAAATACATATTCCAACTGTCAACCTGTGTCTTCATTTACACCCTTATTCCTCTAATTACGTAGATATTGAATGATATTTTATCCTGCAGAACAGCCCAGGGGACAATAAATCAGCTCTTCTGCGTTATCACGATGGTTAGTCCCAATAAAAAATGTTTTTTTACCACAATTAGTTTAGTTAGACCATAAAATGTCAATTAGAGTGCACCAGCAGTACATGACAACGACGATTGTAAATCTGTCATGATGGACAGAGACTGCTTACTTCGTTCATCCAATAATCATTTTAAAAAATGCCGGAACTCATTCATCATCATCGTCATGAGTTAGATGGGAAATGGCGAGGTATTAAGAAATGCCCGCTGTAGTTCTCAGTTCAGGAAATGTCATAATGTCGACGGTATGACTCCATGCTAGCCTCATCCCTGCGACAGCCCCTTCTTATTAATGTTAATAGTCGTTAGATCAGTGGACAAACAACTTTGAGTTGTAGTCGACATTATTTTATCAATATCTCAACTCGAATTCACTTTTAATGCTGATTTTTCTTTGCAGTGATAGCCAATCCTATTGACGTTACGGAAAATCTCTTTTTCGCCATTTTCGGCCAAAAGGACACGGACGATTTTACTTTCGCTCGTAATCTGCAGCCCACCTGGACGATTTATCTATTCAAGGTGATGATTTTTAGGATATGAAACTGGGGATAGTCCGACACTTTTTCCCCGGACACAATTAAACCCCAAAACATTTTCCCGGAAAAAATCTCGCAGAAAAAGCATTTTCAGGAATTTTTGTCCTTCGGAAATTAACTTAAAAATAGTTTTACTTGATGATCTTCCCTATAATGGAAAATTTTTGTTGTACTTAAAATTGTATAAACCACTTTGTTAGACCAATACATAATTTGTCTGGATATTTTTTTCAAGAGAATTTTCTTCGGGGTGAAAATGCCTTAGAATTGAAACTGTGGTACACGTTTTGGAGTATGACTTGAGGATATCCAAAGGCTTTTTTGTATTTGCGGTAGATTATGTAACAGATTTAGAGATTCTCTGTTGTAAAATAAATAAATTGGAGAAGATATTTTTTTATTATATAATTTGAAATGGAAACACTTGGTGAAATTGTTTTAACAAAAAAAAATGGCAATGGGCCTGGAAGTCCTTAGTAGATTCACCTTTTCCCAGTGTGACGTTCACTGATGGATCGATTGTCTGTCTCCAGGTATCATTTTCTCTGTACATGCTGGTGAGTGTAATTGTCCTGATCAACCTGCTAATTGCAATGATGAGCGACACATACCAGAGCATCCAGTCACAAAGCGATATAGAATGGAAGTACGGCCTGAGCAAACTTATCCGAAAAATGCAAAAGTGAGTGAAATAGTACTAAGGGAAAATTCTTAAGTGCCACTCCTGTGACAATGAGAATTCCCTGGAATTCGGTAAGAATCATAATGAAATTCAGGGAATTTTCTCCATAAATTCAGAGAATTTTTGAGAAAAGGCTAGGCTTTTCAATTGAATTTTTTGATACGTTTTTCACAGAACACGAACTGCACCATCACCTCTGAATTTAATCACAACCTGGGTAACGTACGTGGTGAGGGTCTGCAAGAAGCGAAGAGGCAAAAGAAAGCGAGTGAGCGTGATGGAGGGTTTTGCCGGAAGTCAGCCATCGGGAAAACGAGTGTCACGCGTAAGTTTTTTTGACTTTCCCCTCTCAACTTTAACTGCAGGCCAGTGGAAAAACAAATCGATAAACTCATAGAATTTTTAATGCGCAGGACAAATTGCTCTCGATTGAGGGTCAAAAGTCAACAGTCGGATTCTCCAGACTCCAGAGCCCCGTGGGTAGCCAATTGTCATTCAAAACAATGCCGAGTATTGATTCCGTCGTCGATTGGGACATTGTGAGGAAGAAATACAGAATGCGATTTGGAGATTTGGTGGAGAAGCCCTCGGGCCTCGACACCACTGGAGCTGGAGAGCTTATGTAAAAATAATGGAATACGCTTTTTATAAAGATGGTGATATTTTTTTTTCTTATTTTATTCTATGATAATAGTTATTGTGATGCTTTTGTACTAGAACATGAATAAACTCTACTCTTACTGAAGACTAAAGCTTCTGATTGGGGGAAATTAAAATGGAAAGCATTTCTCGGTTTCATTTCTCTTATTAATCTCGTTTGACTCGTTTTCGAGGATTCGTTGGCTCTTCGGAGAGAGCGAATTTTATGAGCCGAAGAATTGAATAGACGATTGCTAAGAGGCAGAGAGCCAAGAAGCCATAAACATCGATGAGCTCCACCTGCCACCACGGAAGATCAACGATCGGTGATCTCAAAGCCCCTGGGCCATGTCTGATTGCATATTCCACCCAAAAAATAGTTGTGTCCATCGCACTCATGGGACGATCCAGGAATTTTTTCGACTGGTACTTTGCTGTTTCACTGATGGGAAAAGAAGAAAAAATTCAGTGGAAAAACATTGTACTTCCTCGATGAAATTCTATTTCATTTCCAGTGCCACTTTATAAAAATCCTATATGGTTCTTTCTATCAGAATTCTTCCACTGATTTTTAATTATTTTTTTTTAAAAGGACAGTAAAAATCTATTGTCCTTTATTCTGGCGAATCAATTAAAAGGAAATTGGGGGGCGAGTCGCAAATATTATTTGATTTTATTACCTGTACTTTGGATTGTTCAATATTTCATTGACGGCCCAGAATAGGGATTTTTCAGTGATGTTGTATAAATCCAATTGGAGAGCAATCCCATGGGATTTGTAAGTTGCTATATTATTGTGCTGATCCCCAAAGAGCGGAATCCCAATTAGGGGAACCCCAAATGTGAGTGCCTCCAACGTGCTCATGAGTCCGCCATGAGTTATAAATATTTTGGTATTTTTGTGAGCTGTGAATACGAATGGAATGTCATTTCCACCAAATATCTACTAGAAAATAATTGGATCAGTGAAGATAATGTCATATTCACCTAGGAGAGCAACCTGAGGAATCCAGGAAGAAGTCTTGATGTTATCCGGTAATCCTGGAAGCAGTGCCGAGTCATTAGCCACTTTCATGAGTACTCTTACAGGTGCTATCCTCCTGAATACCGAGTAAATTGCCTTCATTGTCGGTTCAGGAAAAGTCTCAATGTTCACCATGGACCCAAGTGTAAAATATATCACTCCAGCAGTGCTGTCATTCATCCACTTCTCCAATTCCTTCGCATAGATTTATGAGAAAGACATATAAAAATCTAGTTCTTCAAAGAATTAATGTAAATTACTCTCTAGAAATTTTATTGCACGTTTGTTCCTTGTAAATCCTTGTAAATCTAAGTTTTGAAATTTCAATGACAAATCATCATAATTTTGAATTATATGAGTTGAATTAATTTTCAATTTAAAACGGTCAATACATTTCTCCTTTATCTTAAAAATTCAAGAAAGTTTGGTTTTTCATGTCAAATAATAATTGATTTGTCAATGGATGGTACAATTTTCACGTTCATCATGAAAATTCAGAAAAATGATTGCTCGAATCGTCAACGTTTTTACAATTTTTCAATGGTAGGTCGATCGGAAAATTGAAAAATACCCAAACATTAAAAAACTAAATGATTCATCAATCAAAAACTGTTAGAAATTTCAAGTTTTTTCACGTAAAAATTCAAGTATAATTTTCCAACAATGTATTTGAGAGAAATCGAATATTTTTATGTACAGATTTATATATTAGTATGTAGTTATTGTTTATAATGAATTACCTTAGACATTGGTACGTAGTGTTCTTGCACGTGAATTCCACCGATTTCCACAAGCCCAGGAGTTATCGGCTGGACCCCATGGAGACTGTGCCAAGTATTGACCAAAGCAAGAGTGACATTTTTCTCAAGTTCTCTTAACGGTGGAATATTGGGATCGATGTATTTTCGTATTTGCGCGTCTTGAACTCTATCCGTGTACCGACGAAATCGAATATCGCTGATATGATTCTGGATAGTGTTTATTACCCTGATCAGAAATGACATGGGATGTACGTAGGCTGTGAAATAACCTGACATGAAGGCTGAAAACGGCGGTTGACCGAGACTCTCTATTAGCCAGGGTAGAGGTATCGTAGTGCTGGCCAAAACCACTGGCACCTTCAACACGTGTCCCAGGGCGATAAAACAATTGGCGCCAAATGCCTAGAGTGCAACGAATTGATATGGCACAATGAGAATTAGCTTAACAAGCGCATTTCAGTAGAAAAATCTATTCAAGCGCTATTTCACGCAGTCACGATAATTGGAGGGCCAATCTAATGCAGATCATTAATGATGTTCGGAAGAGAATCAATTAATTGAATTCTCGGTAAATATCTAGTTTAGCCCCACCAAACCATTCTATAGATTGTGTGATGGAGTGTGTAGATTTGCGGTCCTTGTTTCACAACCTGGAAACAGTTGTTGGGGGAAACAATTACGTTGGAAAATATGTTTGTTAGTACACCGCTCTCTGTCTTATCCAGGGCCACGACGAGGACATGGCGATGTGCCGGCCCTAAAGATATCACATGTTGGTACACTCATAGATAATGGACACACAGAAAGATGTTAGATTTTGATGGTAATCCCGGGCACATCACTCGGTCACACAAGTCTCACCTCACCTTCCCTGACCACCTAATATCGCTGACTTAACTCGACGAGTGCTATACCCACCGCTACACCCGTCGATAGTCATTCAAATTGTTGAATCTAGATAATATGATTTGCTCGTCGGGTCAACGTCGGATCATAATTGAGGAACCTGCACAGCACCCCAACAGTGGATTTGCTTTTCCGCCTATGTTGTCTCTTTTCACTCGCCTTGTTTTTTTTAAGGGGCTTCTCTTGGTTAATATCAAAGAAATTGTAGTTTCAATTATATTTATCTATGGTGGGGCTAAACTATATATTTAGCGAGTTCTTTAATGAGGATTTTTACCTCTGTCATAACCAGATCATACGGTGGATCTTGCGGTGGATTTCGGATAATATTCTGTATCTCAGGAAGTCCTAGATACTCGCACAATCCGTTCCCAAAAGGAAGTGCTATCCAAGGAAGAGTATCAGATCCGATGTCCGTGGCGTAAGTTATATTGAACCGATTGATAAATCCAGATGTCTTCCCCTCAAGATTAACAATCACTTTGTAATTAGGCACTGGCGTTTTAAAGGGATACACAGTGACTACGTCCACCTGATGTCCCATTCTCACTAATCCTTTCATAATTCCATCGAACATGAGTTGATGGCTCCTCGACTGGAACGGAAAAATACACAAAATTCTGTACGCCTCATTCTCAATTGCACATAGAATCCACAGTCCGATAGTTAATAATCCAATATTCAAATATTTTATTAGCTGCATTTCGTGCGGTGAAGTTGCAAGTGATGTCGATATAGCAATTATTCATCCTTATATATGACGGAAGATAGTCTTATCGGCTAATTATGACTCTACGATTTTTTACGGCACCATAAAATGATACGAAAACAATTGAAAATTAAGATGATTTCTCAAGTTTTCAAATGCCCCTCTGATAACTGTTAATGACTCAATTAGTTTTTATTAGAGTCAGCAAATTAGTAGGGAAATTGGTAATGATTTGAATCTCCGCGCTCACTGTTTACATTGCAGTGGTGATTGCACAGGGAAAAAAGATCTCGTTTCAACGAACTTACTCCTAATTTTCTGCCCTAACATTTCTCGGAACCGACAGGAAGAAAGATCCTCGGGATGGCATAACCCACATTCCTGCCATCATTTATGAAGAAAAATCCAAGTTTTCGTGTAGTTATGACGGAAAAACCATGTGTACCAAGGGAGGACAACCCTCGTGGTTTGGAGGCCATGTTTTCCTCCCTTGGTGTACAATATACTATGAAATGATACATTAATATTCCTATTTATTTCCTTCAGAAATATAAAACCAATGCGGAAATCTAGACAAAACATGACTGAATTTATTAATTTCACTCATTCAATACCATGATTTCATAAAATGATAAACGAATAAAATAAGTTTGATTTAATTTTATTTATTTCATTTCTTGTCCTCATTTCTTCTTGTCTACGATAAAGTGACAGTGATTCTGGAAGAGATCCTTATTTTATTCCAGAAGAATAACATAATCGAGAAAATTCCACACCTCATGGCATCCGCTGGCTTTTATTAAAGGATGCTATCTGAAGAGTGACACATTCCAAATTCAGAATATAGAATTGAAATCCCCTTTGCCATACGGCGACTTGCTATTAGTCTCCAAAAAAAACAGTCCTCGGGTCTGAGAACTGACCTTTTCCCCCATGACAGCTGTAGAATTTTCACACTTCCCTGCTCTATATTCCGCCCAACTGCCGCACTTGACCGCTAGAAAAGCCAACGAAGAGACGATTGATTCAGCCATGAACTGGTGAGATCTCCCATGGCTACAGTACTCTGAAAACAATTTAAAGTAGAGCAAAGACTGAGGGTTAATTATTGTTTTAGTTTCGCATCTTCCCTAGGAATTATATGAAATGAAGGAAAAATTACGAGAGACTATTGAGGCACATCCAGGCTGACGAAAAGTCCCTCCATTGGGGTAAAAATCCGCATGACCAATTGCTCTGATAAATCCCAAGGTACCAGCACAAGTGTGGATGACATCAACAAATACGGCGTCTGATGGGTCCAATCTGGCATTCTGATCTTTGAAAATTGGTGATTCGAAACCTGGTCGGGCTGGATCCATCCCCGTGATTCGCCCGACGGTGCCAGATAAATTTGAGCCCGCGAAACCAGCTATGTGAGCGCCTAGGCTGTGCCCCAGTATGTGAACATTAGCTAATGAAATATTGACCGAGGTACTCAGAAAATGCAGAAATTCCCCGACGTATCCACCTATCTGTAAAATTCATTCACCCGTTGGATAAAATCCAACTGATAAGGTTGACTATTAAGTAAGTAAGTGTCTGCCCCCGATTTTCATGAGACTTCAATATGTTATAGAGGATTCAAAACTAAGTGGCACGTATTTTTTATCGACCTGTACGCGAGTTTAAGGGATGAAAATACCCTTTAAAGTTGATTACCAGCCCACAGGGACATATTTTTTTGTAATGTGACAGAAAGATGGTGGAAAATGATTAAGATAAAAATTAAAATTACCTCCGAGACTTAAAATTTCAGGCGCTAAATAAGTCCAAAAAAATTCATTAATTCGATCTAAAAAAATGTGTTGCTCCGAATCTCATAAAAGCAATTTCATTTGAAAGTGCATTTGTTTTTGTCTTTAACGAGCAGTTGAATAAAGAATGCTTTTAAATGACTTTTCAATGAAATTGGTTTCATGAAATCTGGAGGAATATATTTGTTTGAGATCGAATTAATGACTTGTCACGGGGGTACTTTCACCCCGAAATTTCGACTCTCAGAACTGATTTTATTTTCAACTATAATAATTTTCCATAAACTTCCTGGTATATTGCAAAAAAATTGTCTAAATATTCTCTGTATGGGCGCAATTAAGTATAGTACTCCGGAGGAACTGATCAACTCCACAGGGCACGCCCTAACCATAGGCGGGCCCTTATAAGGATCTTCTCCACCCATGTATAGCCAAAAGTAATTTTTTTTCATTTTCTGGCAGAGTTACCATGCGACTGACGTGGAAAAAGAAACGTTTTGTCATTATTTAATGATTCACGAAGTTTCAAGGTGATGCGAACATGTTTCTGTTGTTTTTCTAAACTTTTTAAAAAGAATCACAAAAGCGTAGAAAAAAATGAATGAGAATAATCAGACCACCACAAAATTTCGTCAGCGATTAAATAACGACAAAACGCAAAAACTTTATATTTTTTCACATCAATCCCTTCGATGGTCTTCAAAAAAAAATTAAAAACGTAAATTTTGGCTATATATGAGGGTTGAACATCCTTAAAAAAAATGTGAGAGCTACCTAGTATTCCTTGAGAGTATTTCCCATTTTCCTCCTTGTCGAATTATAAAAAGAGCAAAAAAAATGATGAGTTATACATATAATGATCTGTAAGATCCATATCTCTGAGGTCAGCTATTGATTGATGAAAGTTTCTACTAAAAAAAATGAAGAAGCGTTCCAAAATGTTATGTTCTGAAAGAAAATGGTGGGATTACCTGTTCCGTCAATTTGGCAGCGACAGAGTACTCTTTAATCGAAGTGGGAAACCAGTTAACTAAAACAACATTGCAATTCTCTTGGAATAAATAATTGTCCCGAATGGTGGTCATCCACTGGGAGGTACCCTTGTCGGTCCAGCCATGGACGAGAACCTTGAGGGGTCTATCCTCCCTAAAAGTCGATGCCTCAAGACCTATAAGATCTCCAACAGTCAGCTGATGTCCTTTCTTCGGATTAGATCTCGTAAACAGATTGAAAGTGATGTCCTCCTCGGGATTTAAAATCACCTCTCGAACGGGTGCTGCACGTTCCTCTTTAATCGTCAAAGGTAGAAGCAGCGAACCAGTGAATTTTCCCTCAAGAATTATGTCTTGAATATTCTCAAGCGCCGACAGTCCCAGATTCGCGGCATTTGCATCAAATAAGAACGCTAATTAGAAGCAAAATAGGAAATGATGAAAATCGTGATGCTGATGGAAATTTAATTAATGAGATAACGCCCGCTTTTACCTAGTGAAAACAGTATTATCTCTCCTGTCATTCTGTCTTCTTTATTTCCACGTCAAGACTAAATGAAAGACTGAAAGAATCTGCATTGTCAGGAGTTTTTTTATACCCACGATGATCGATCGGCCTCAAACGACCTGTAAATTGTCTTCATTATTCGGGACAAGTCCGAGACGTCATGCGATACTTATTTGCATAACATTCTAAAAAATATTGCGTAACGAGCCAATTTTCTACGGACAGAAATTATTTGAAAAACGCAATTTCAAATTTATCAAAGTGACATTTTCCCCTAGATTCGGTACCATTCGTCGATAAGTCCATATCTCCGTCGATATTTTATCATTTAGAATAATTTGGAATAACTGCGGGACGCACCTTATTTCCTGTTGGTGTTCCTTGGAGACATTTGAAGGGTCAAGACGGAAATCGAATTTATGATTTAATATCAAAAGTGCAGGGAAATTGATAAATTTTATCTCCTATACCCTCCATGGTTATGGAAAAAAATGCTATGAAAAGTCGGGAAATATGTTGCCAACGCAAATATTTTACGAGCAAACATCGACTGATGCTTACATTCGTCCATTAAATGAAATATTCACAGCCCCCGAAATTATTATCCCCCTGACAATTTTTATCATTGAAATCCTGTAGAGAAAACAACATCCGGAATGGATGGGTTTTGTTTCAGTGTGAGATTAAAAAAGGAGAAATAATTTATGATTCCTCGGTAGCTTTTATCGTTCCATCCCCTTGGGTTTCATATCGGATGGGACAAATGTACTTTTCCTTTATGTATTGTGTTCAATCAACATGCGCTTTTCTCTTTCTCGTTTTCATATTGCATTGTTTGCGCGACGGGTAATCTCGTTTTGTAATTAACCCCAACCGCGGTCTAAGCGATTAATTCCCCAACAATAATTCTAATGAGAAATTACGCGCAAGAGTTTTCAGAAAATTACCATTTAAAAAATTTATAACTGCATTCTAATATTAGCTCAGACATTTGATGATTTCAATTTAGATCTCGAAAGTCTCAAATTATGATTTATCCAAATGTTTAGGACTGCAGATCTTGAAATAAAATTTGGTATAAGTCTCGAGTTCAATTCTAAAAACTTTAATTGATACTAATTAAATAATAATAATATTGATTATTAATAACGGCTAATTAAAGTTAAATAATAATTGGAGTAAACTTTCTGTAATAAAAAAATAGATCTGCCCCTTATCATATTCCAACCTTAAGGAGATAAAAGCCTTGAGAAAGTGATAAGGGCATGTGTTGTTCACAATGTAAAAATACCATTTCGAAGGTCACTTTTATGTACAATACCGTGAATTGTGCCAGTTTGTCTCCCCCTGGTGCTGAACCGTGAATGAATTCTCGAAGCTCAAATATCAAACGAAAGGAAAAATCTTATTTTCTTCCGAAGCAATAAGAATGTTTTCCTATCGAAGCGAGCAAACACTATTCTTTGAGAAACGTGAGCTAAACTTATTGGCTCTAATGTTGACACGATGAAAAACGAACGACCTTTTTAAAGATTGAATCAAGTATCAGAGGAGTGAGAGATGGAACGTGAAGAAATGTTGAATGCTTTCCAAGGATTCAAGGCAAATGGACAAAAGAAAATGGCAAATTCCACGTCTGTATGATTCCTCGACCTTCATTTGAGGGGCTTTTCCGTAAAGTATATTTTTGTTTATACATTATTTATCAAGTTAAACTGTTAAATCACTCAATTTTCATTTGCTTATTCAAATCAGAGATGAATAATTAGCGGCACTAAAATACCTACTAATTAAATGCCGAAAATACAAATGAAATCAGAAATGTTTTAATTTTAAGTCTCCAATTAAGTTGTTTCACATTCAAGGCTTGCAAAGTCTTAATTTGGATCTTTCCTTTCATGCTCCTGTATCCCTATGGAAGTCCAAAATCAATTCAAGTCATTTCGCGGTCTCAAATGAGCCTTCAAAAGTCTCAGATTAAGACTGAAAAAGCTATAAATCATAGAAGTGAGACGTCATCAAAATGGTAACTCAAATCATTTGAATTGTTGACGCTTCTCACTTCCTGATTGAACCTTGAAAGCTCCGATTTACTCGGGATCCTCGAACTAAAGTTGAATTTCTCCGTTGAAAGCGATAAGTCCTCGTTGAATCGATCCCCAAACAAAGTTGTTTGAGCGAAGAGGTCAGAGGGTACTTTATCCCGAGGTTTGAGTTTTGAGAGAATTCTTTTTTCTCCGTGCGGTTCGCTCTTTTCCAAAGAGAAATCGGCGTCGACTCAGGTAAAAGTATGCAACGGGTCGCAGTTGTTTCATTGTAATTGAACATGTGTGCGAGTGACGCTTGCGCTATTCGCGATGATTTGAGTCGGCGCAAGTAAAACTCAACAGCTAAACATGCTTTACACGATTTGTCCGAGGTGTGCCGCGCGTCTCAGCGCGTCCCATCGCGTCTAGTCTCCCGCCACAAAATCTCCAACATAAAAATAATTCCGCGTTTCAAAACCCCAAATTACAAATTCAAAGTATCCCTCTTAAAAGAAACGCCGTCCTTATCATTTCATTTTCATTTCATTATCATTTCCTTTTCTCTCCACAATTTACTCCCTCTTCGTATCGAGAAAATTTTTATTTAAAAATTAAAAGGCCATGTAGTAGTGAGTGTAAACAATAAAAATTCACGCAGACTGAAAGAATAAGTGCAGAGACGCTGCAAAGTTTTTTCATGACAAGTGACAGAGCGACGTAAATTTGCGGGGATGAATCCGGGATGAGGGGGAAATTCGATTTCTCCATGTGACAATTTTCCTCGAAATTTTGGTGAGTAGAAATGTGATTGGATTTTTTTTATAACCACCGCACGACTTGGAATACGGAAAATTGGAGTGAAGTAATTGAGTGGAAAATTTCGACGATTCAATTAATAATTCAATGCCGAGTCCTGGGATTGTTTTGACGATAATTGAAGTGTAAAAATATATCGGGCGACTTTTTATGAGGTGAAAGACAGCGTTTTATTACAGAATTTTAAACGTCCTCTCGGCAATGACGGATGAATGACTAGTAGTTAATTGAAAAATGACGAAATCTCAACACATCCGGTTGCGATAAGTCACACGGAGAGAATTGACATGAAACAAGTGGAGCAATGCTCCCTCATTTGCGAGGTAAAATGTGTTGTGACCTCTTAAAAAATTTCTTAGTGCTCAGGGAATAGGTACACGCAGAACAATTGTCAATAGAATTTACCGGAACCTTGTCGTGAAAATTACCATTTTATTTTGTAGAATATCCACTAAAAGGGAGTCGTTTTTTTAATGGCACTTCTTACTAGAAGTATAAAAGTCGTATTTGCATTTTTGTTTCAATGAGAGGAAAAAAGTCGAGATTCAAAGAAGGAAGTAAAGTTAAATACGAGTAGCAGAATAACGCGTTTGGATAGACGAATATATCTCAGAGGATCGATTACCCCGACCAACTGATCTATTTTCGAGTGAGTGAGTGATGCTAACAAATGAAATATACATTATTTTTGCTCGAATGTTGAAAAAATATTGACGAACAAAAAGTCCAATTCGATCTTAAGGGTACAATCCCGGCGACTGTTAAAATGAAATAATTGAATTCACTCCAGTCGAGATCATGGTCTTTATTAAATTAGAAGTAGTAGAATGAAAGAAATTGAAATATCCCTCTAATTGGTTGTGAATAAATCATTTCAATGAGGAGTCAGAATAATTTAGTCCTGAATATGCATTCCTCTCGTCAACCTGAAATCCTTTCCTCATTCCCGTTCCATTTAATAGTTAATAACGACATCAATTGATTATTAACTCTCGAATTCACTCATGAGTATTGATTTTTAGGTGAGAATTGTAAATTCCAATTCTGATAAAACAAATAGACTCTATGATTTTTTAATTAAATTATTTCGTAGGCACCGTGGAAAATCAAGAAAAATTAAAAACTCATGTGATTCTCTTCTTGAATATTCATATTTTACTGAAAAGCTGTGAACATCTTGAATATTCAAAGAAATTCTAATTTTCCATCCGTACGACTGAAAAAATTATCGTAAATGTAGAAAATTGAAGCCATTGTTTTTCTAAATCATAAATTAATTCAAATAATGATTATTATTTTCTTAGTAATTAATAAAATCATCAGATTAAAATCCAAAATATTCAGAGTTTCGATGCAAATTATAAATGGTAATTGAAAAACAATTCCATAAATGCGTATTCTTGTCATATCAATGCTCGTAATTATCGTAAATTCTAAAAATATAAGTCATGATTCTTCCGAATTCTCATAATGAATTATTATAATAATTACAATATATTAATAAGTAATTAATTTACCAAATCGAAACACAAAATATTTTAATGCAACTAAATGCCTATTGTTGATCTATGAGTCCCTTAAATCCGACTAATTACCAATTTCCTGATAATTAAAATTTCAGTGGTATTCGGTTCGACAGCCTGTTGGTGACCTCTCGATCGATTTGCTGGGTTATGTGTACCATCGATCCCAGTGTTTCGTCTTATAAGCTAAACTCCGTGTAATTTTTGCACTGTCTATCTTGGGAAATTCACCCAGTGGATCTTGTTCTGCCTGGGGCAGCTCTTGTTGATTCTTCAATAGGGGCTGTCCAAAGGGGAATCAAACCCTGAAAGTTAGCCCCGTCCAGGGCAAATTTTCAATAACAACGATGAATTATTCGAGCACTGATGGAATATCACGATTAATCCAACAAAACTGCTATTCCCCGCAAGAAAAACACTCGAATAAAGAAAAATCCCAAAGATCTACGAAACACCGAAAAATACATTCTACCTCAATTGAAAGAAAATATTCCATTTTTCTCGAACTCATACGAAAACAATAACTAATACTAATAATAATAATAATAATAACAATAATCATAATTAATTAATATCAATATGAATTGAGAACAATGAGAAAAATAATCATTACACAGAAAACACTGTACTTATAATAAGAGATTTACATTACAAGTTTGGAACCGTAAATTACGGGTTAAAACCACGTAAATTACGCCCAGAAATGCCGTAAATTACGATTTTTATGTCGTAAATTACGAGGTTTCATATCGTTAATTACAAGTTTCAACTTTGTAAATTACGAGATCCGACCCCGTACTTGACGCTCCCTTCCTCGTCATTTACGACATCTCATTCACGTAAAATCTGTGATTGGCATCGTAAGTGCAAGGACACATATAAGTAAAGCTCTATTGTCATCAAATCTTTAAGGTTGAGGATATTTGGGGTTATCTGAACATGAGTTCCCATGACTTTTTTTCAACATTTTTCCAAAAGAATTTCAAAAATTATAAACATTCTAAAAATTCGGCAATTTTTGTAAATTTGGCAAATTTTACGGAAGCCATGGAAGGTAATTAATTCTCTCAAAATTTGCCACCTTCGATTTCTTTCACCTTTCAACGATATTTCTTGAATCTTCAAGATTTTTTAAATTCTTTAAAAAAAAATGAAAAATATGGAAAAAAAGGCACTGAAAATCATGTTAAGATGGCCCAAAATATCCTCAAACTTGAATATTTGATGTTACCCAAAAAAAGTTTTTCCTATATGTGTCCTTACATTTACGTTCCCAATCACAGATTTTACGGAATAGTAATTTACGCGATCGATCCCGTAACTTACCACATAAAAATCGCAATTTACGGCATTTCTGGGTGTAATTTACGTTTCCAAACGTAATGTACCAGATCAAAAATCCGGTAAATTACGTTCTAAATCTCGTATTTTAATTATAGTGTCTTCTGTGTGTAATATTGAATATAATAATTCTCTAAATTCTCAATTATAAATTAGGATTGTATTGATCTTTTTGAAGTAACAAATTTTTTTTTGGATCGAAGAGTTCCCGGCATTATAAATGGGATTCGATATCTCCTTAATCACCCATCATCCCCTTCAACAAATTTCATAAGAAAACAGCATGTGTCATTGTTTGCCACCTGCGACACTATTCTCCCCTCAAAACTATTCTCAAATCCCCCCGCAATCTCAAACTCGAGCATTTCTTTTCCTCCAACTTTTCCGTGGACTTTTTTGGCTGACAGAAACCTCTCCAAAAATTTGCGACTCTCACTATCCTGTTAATTCAGTGAAATAATCCAGAAAAGGATTAAGTGAATAATGAGAAAAGAAATAATAACTGAGATGAGAAGAGAAATGTAAATTTGCATGGGGATAAAACATTTCACTGAAATGCCATGAAAATCGAGGAAATATTATAGTCGTAAACGTGAAGGGGTAAAGAAAAAAACCTTGAGTTTTCGAAGGATATCTCATAATCTAAAAGAGATACTGAAATCTTTGTCAAACCTTTTTTAAGAAATAGAAAGCGTTCTATAAAAAAGGTCGTAACAAAAATTTCGAAATTTCTTTTAAATCGCGGGACATTCCTCAAAAACCTACCTATCAACTGATTCTATTGGATTAATAAAATATCCCGACATGAAACCTAATTATTTCCCTTCCTCTTGCAATTTCATGGGACCCAGGTCGATACAACAATTACGAAACAACTCACGTAACAATCTAAAAAAGATAAGGACAATTTTCATGAGAGTACTCTGGAAAATTTATTATTCTCCAGTGTCTTTCCACGAAGATTCACATATAATATCCATTCGAGTTTCGGCAAATTTCACGTCTCAATTCAGTGAAATTAATTTGTACAAAAATGTATTTCCCGTCGTATTAATGTTATCTATCTTTATCTAGTCCTTTCTGTTAAATTAATTCACCAATTAATTAATTTAATTGAAGTAAAAGGGATAATTTTCGCGTAGATTTTCATGAATGCTTTATTTCCGTGGAAGATCCGCTGGTAATTACCAAGTTCGGATGAGATATAATCAGAGAATGCAGATGTTTATGAATGGGCGGACATAAACGAGATTTGATTAGAGCCTTCGACGTGGAATAAACGCGGATGTCACGCAACGTTTGGAGAATGAAGAGTCGACAATGTTCGTCGATTGAAACTGATTCTTTGGCTGACATCCAAAGATCATAAACGAACGATTCTATTTCCATGAATTTTTCGGCGAACCTCGGGATAGTTGTGGGCACAAATCTGGGTTGAATCTCGTCGTTTGTGGGGGATAACGGAAACCGGTGGAGATAATACACTGAGTATTGGCAACAGTCGAATGGAAATTTCGCAAAGGCCAGGAAAATGCCACGGCTTTGGCTTCGGCAATGTGGCATGTGACGTCAAACTCAAGTCAAATAGAGGATCAATCACAGAGGATTTATTTGGGATTGATATTGGCAAGGATATTTGCTGGGGTGGAATAGCATTACAGAATATTCAAAGCTCGGACGCTTGACGAACAATTTTCTCGGGAGATCTCATCTAATTTATGTAAGTACTGCGGCAAAATTAAGTACTGCAAAAAATCCAGCACTCACAACATTTTCTGATTTTTTCTTTTCATTTTACTTCAAAAGTGACAGATTACATTTGTTGTATAAAATTCTCTACTGGAAAGTTTATCAGCCACAAGGTCTTTATAAGTCTGCTAAATTGGAATGTAAGGCCCTCATAAGTAAGGCCCTCATAAGCTGAAGTTCAGATCAGAGCGAAACGGAATGGCGAGCTGAAGTCCTGATCTAACCAACATTATCCGGTCTTTAAATGGTTTACATTGCCCTTACGATAACCAGATAAGGATCTAATCAGTTTCGAGTGAGGTTAACATCATCAGGTGAGCTCTACAATTTCCTGACTAGGACCTTGACAACGACACCGATATGATCCGTTGACCACCTGATCCGGTCACCACCTGATAAGCCTGAAAGGCGCACCTTCTATTTACCAAGTATGGCCCTTATCTGACAGCAGGGCCACCTTGGCAGAATTCCAGCCGAGAATGGTTGCCACTCTTTCAATATTGCATAAAATCTGTTGGTAGATTTTTTATGCGAAAGAACTCGCGCGGGTTGATTATAAATGAAAGGATATGTGTATCAGTTCTTTGGGGCTGTGAGTGGAGAGATTCACAATCATTTTATTTTGTCCAGGTCCATCCTAATAGTTTCATAACAGAAAATATTGTTTCCTCTTGAAAAATCCGGTCAAGTTCTTTTAGAATTCTATTGGAAAGTTCCTGATTGTAATTTGTCAGATGATAGTAGATAATATGGTAGCGTTTTCTTTGTGAGACTATTTCTGTTGAAATTTATACCTTCTATATCTACAATTTAATCAATTTCAATATTGAAAATGCAAAATTCGGGTGGAAAATTAATGAAAACTTTCAATTTCCGCTGAATAATCAGAAGTTCTGGGAAATGCATCCAATTAATTAAAATTTGGTAATTATCTCCGGATTTCACTAATAGAGTACCGAAACTATCATTGTACGCTTTAATCAAAATAAATTGGAGCACAATATCCTGCGACCGACTCAGAATTGAAATATTTCCAAACTACCAATTTTGGTCAATCTTTCCAATAAATCGATGCAGCCATTATTGTTATTATTTTCGTCGTCCAACTAGCTAAACTAACTAAACATCAAAACTGTTTTTTTACGCCATTGTTGAAGTATTTCGTAACATTTTTTATTGAGTTCTCGTGAAAAACTCAAAAATTAATAAATTGATAAATAAATTGAATTCTAATTAATATCGACAACTAGAGTTCAATACTTACATATGAGTATAGCAATGATTTAGTTTCATGAATACCCTAGATTCTATGTAATCAGAGATGAAGTTTGAAAATTTGTTACGTACACACAGGCACTCGCCCGTAAACAATGATCAGAAAGTTTTGCGTAAAACAGATTATTTTGCCGATAAACTATGCGGCGATTCCTCGTATTTTACTTTCTAGTGGACGGAATGTCGGTTTCAAAATTGCATTTTTTAACTTGAATGATATCATGTTGACATAAAATAAAACAAAATTTATATTTCATCGATTTCAATTCTTCAATTCAGCAGCATAAAGATCAAATGTCTTTGAGTAATTACGAAAATTCGATGTAAAAGCGTTTTTCCCAAGTGTTGAAATGGGCGATGATGAAGACATGTGCAGATCCACCCACATGTAGCCAAATCCGTACACGATGATTAAACATCTCCATGAATCGTGTCCCTCAGGGCCGATATCTCGCCAACACCGTGTACCGATGGTCCAACAATTGAATGACTATAAAATGTACAACATCCTTGAGCTTGTTGTGCAGTTCATAGTCCACTTACGTGCAATGAAAAGCCAACACAGATGCAAACTCAATGTTTCGCACAGTATGATATCGAGAATTGCCCCCAACGGACACCACTACCCATAAACCCTTAACGTCAATGAATGCATTGGTATTGGAAAGTTGTGGTTGGTGGTTAATTTCGCTGTCCCCTTGTTCCCCAAGCACGTGTCGGTTAAATCGCTGAATAGTTAATAGTTAACAATAGGTACGTCAGTAACAGTTGTTTCGCAACGGCGGAATTAACGAATTAACTCAAGTCATTCATTCGGTTGCAGATTATATCCGGGATTTTATGGTTGAGAACGTCAGAGAAGAAGATATTTCCGGAGGATCATGGAGTTACAGACGGAGGTGAGTTTGCTGTGAAAGATTAATAAATGTTTTCAATAATTGAGGTTCACCCTGCACTGAGAGATAAAAAATAAAATATGTAGGTAAGAAGCTGCATGTTGACCTGGTCAACGTTTTTTCGACTCAACAAATTTGCCGCTGATAAGAAAACTTATTCCAAACTTTATTTATTTCTATCGAAAAATTGAGCAATGGAAAGTCCGATTGACTCCAAAAAGTCTACATTATCTCGTAAAAATATCTCGATATATTTAGGCAGAATGAATATATCTTTCAATGTTTACTTTATTATATCTTCACAATTATGTTTGTTGAATTCACATTGCGACTTAACCCTCACGAAAAAATATATATGCTAATAATTCTATTAATTATATAATTTTATGACATATTGCATTTTTCGCCGGAATATATCATTAATATATAGTTCACATATATACAATTTTCCATGCAGAGATTCACCAGTACACATTCTAGTAATACTGATATAATATTATTCTGCATTATTTTATTGTATATTTACAATTACACTCACGCATTCGGCATATATATATTATTTACATATATTATATTATTATACATAAAATATATTTGCGTCGAAAAGACATATATATTTTTTCCGTGAGGGGAGGTGGCAAAATAGGGCGAAAATACTTTTGCCTTGTTGTTGTCTTAGTTCGTACGTTTGAATAATTTAGTGGGCAGATATATAATTCTTTTTACGCACTTAATATTATCTCATCCATTAACACGAAACATTACATCTGAGAGATAGTTTCAAGCTGCGGATCCAATATTCAGAGATCAGACAGAGATCGGAATATCGGGCGTAGAGGGAATTAGCCGGCGTCACAAGCGGATACACTTGGATATTTGATGTGCGCATCTACATCGGGGTAAAATGTCGGGAATATTCCACGTCATGCATCATTTAAATGTCAAAGTCTGTTCTCCAGCGATGTTGACATCCACCGGGAAAAGTTTATATTTTGAAAAAACTTCGAAAAAAGTATCTCAAGTTGACCCAGTTTTTCTACCTCGACAAGCAATTACTTTTACCAAGTAGATTTACTCATTGTATTGTTCCTGAGTCCCTGTCCTTTCATCAGTGACGAGAAAAAGTTGAAAAAATTGGAGAAAATGCAGGGATTAACAATTAATTTAATTTAATTTACCCCATAAAATTATTGGTAATGGAACAGCAATAAATTTTATCGTCTCATCATTTTGTCTTCATTGGTACTATTGTGAACTTTTCAAAAGTAAATTTTTTGCATGAACATATTACATTATAGTTAATTAAATGATATACTTTTCATTTAATTAATACTAATTGATTTGGAGATTACATGAAATTCAATAAAATTCATTCTCATATTCAGAATTAATTAATTAATTACACATCCGGTTGACTAATTAAAAATAGAATGATACCCCGGAATAAGGGAATATATTGTTAAATTCAAGTAAAAAACTCTAATTAACTAATTAAAATCGGTTTGTCACTGATCTCGGCAATTAGTTCCCAAAGGTGAATAAATAGAAAACATTTCTCTCTCCAACACTCAATTAACGTAATACCTGGGAGGAAAAATACGAATAGCATTCCCCAATTTGCTCTAATGGGGGGAATATATTTGGTGTCTCACGCCCCCAATGAGCTTCAGACACTCAGGGAGTGACCGATATATCTCCTGTTATATTGTTGCGTATATTATTTCTTAGAGAACCATGCACTTACCCTCCCCCGACGATCCATTATCGGAGAAGGATTGAAATTGGGGGAAGAGTCCTCTGCCCTTGTGGAAGACTGAAAGCATTATTTACCCTCTGATTGTCTCCTGCTCAGATCTATCTCCCGAATTTCACAGTAGAAAAGCGGAATAATAAGTTTATTATCGTTCCAAAACTAATGGATATTGGGAAAACTCTGAGATTACTTATTGAAATTGCCTGGGAATCAAACGGTTTTGTTTTTTATTCTCTAGAAAACGAAAATCTCATCTTCTCTTCATTATTGACAGTCCATGAAAAGAAGTCGTCAATCATTAATCCCCCACAAATCAATAAAAAATTAAAAACTGGCAGTGAAAGCTCCCATCAACCCCCAGATGACAGCATCAGAAATTGACATGCAATCCATAAGAGAAATTAATCTCCAAAAATTTGAAATCGAGGTCGAGCCAAAAATTAGCCCCAGGATTTAAACAAATTTCAGTCAAGTTTCAGTAGTTCAATTACAGAATCAAATTACAGATGAAATTGAATTATTCTAGGTGACATTGTTTTCATCAGTTGTTTTTTTAAATTATTACCTTATTTTTTCATTTATCGTCATAAAATCGTGAATGAAACATTCAAACGAATCGCAAAAAAATGGTTAACGAATTTCTTTTCAAGTTTATTTCACGCTTTAGCGTTTTTTTTTTTGTCATACGAATTCTCTCATTGTCATGTAAGCTACATTGATTTTCTTTTTACTAAAGCATTTAATGCCCTTTATATACCAGATGATTTCAACAGCATGAGAATAACCAGCACCCGTTGTCCGGGGTGAAATATACCGTGCAGTGAAATTTTACCGGTTTTCAGTGGCAATTTTCAGCCCCTTGCCATGCAGATGAAGAATAGTACCTCGGTAGTTGGCCAGAGCTTATAAATATTCATCCCACCAACATTCATATTAGCATTTCGATTCAGCCATGAGCTTCTGTGCAAGGTGCACTAATTGAGATCGCCCGGAAATCATGCACTCGTGGAACTAGTAATTTTTTCACCGCTGACGTACAACAATTTTTCCGCAACTAATGCCCGTCGGACAGTGATTAATTACCGATGCCCATGACCAGTGATTTTCCTGTCCAACTTAATCAATAAAAAATCTCATGAGAATTACCATAAAATTAGCGTAAAAAGTCCGTTAAAAATAACAAAATTCTCTGATTTATCCATAAACTCATCAATTTCCCGTGACATTACAGAGGGAAAAAATCAATTGTTCGCTTCCACAACTGACGTTTGTCGTGGGCCTCCAGGAAATCCACGATAGACTGAATTTTCATGTCCATGCATTACGGAATGACGGGAAATATAAATAAATGAATAAATTTAGCGACGATGATTCGCGTAGTAGGTCGTGCGTAGAAACTCCGGAGATTCTGATGGGGAAAAGTTTTGTCGGGGAAAAGTGGTAGCATACGAAGTACATCCTATTTCTCATTCTCATTGTGATTTATGGTGCCTGCAAGAAGTACGAATGGTGTCTTCTCGGGGGCTCACATTTATTCTTCGAGGATTTTGAAAGCGTCAGACTCGGCAGCTGGGGATCATTTCAAGTTTCATACGTCTTCGTGTAGGTGATAGGATTATTGATGCAAGTCCTGGTACTTCTTCTTCGTGCAATTGTACTATTTTTAACGGAGAGAAGCACTGAGAAAAAACATCCTGAAACTGAAATGACAACATCGAAATGTCTTTAAAAAAAATTTCTGGAAATTATCTGTATTTTTCATAATCTCATCAGATTTTATTCTTAATGTTATCATTTTTTCCGATAGGTACATTTCGGGATTGCTTCTTCTAGGTTCTCGAAACCTTAATGCGGAACATGTAGTTTTTTTTAAACTCACTATTATTTTCAACTTTCAGACATATTTTTTGTTTGACGTTATGAATTTTTGAATTTCTCTTTCAAAATTATTAATGTGAGGAGTTTTCTCCTGTAATTAAATACCCGTTCTTTATTCATCCACTTCATGTATTTATTTCTAAAGATAAACTTTGTTTTTCAAAATCTTGTGTGAATTCTGTAATCTGGGAAAAAAGTTTTAAATTCGTTTTTTTTCTGTGATGGAAAGGAGAAAGTTCAGTATAGAAAAATAGCTAGAAATTGAGGAAATTCTCGAGATCTTTAATTGAATTCTATCATTCATGAGGCGAAAATAAGCAGAATCAATGAGAAAAGTCACGTTCTTGTCGCGGAATTCGATTTCCTTCTGAAATATTCTAGGAGAATAATATCACTCGTGTACTCGTCGCACATTGCTACATCGCCGATCATCTTTCTGCTACGTAACTTCATGACACAATGTAAAGAAGTCATAACGTGAACATAATTAATCAAACGTGTTCTCGTCGCAAATAGTCCTGCGCAAGTGTCACGCAAGTGTACGAGAACAATTATCTCTAATAAGACGCTCGCAATTCACAAGAATGTCAGCAATTCCCATTATTTCTCCATAAGAAAAAACGAATATAAAAAAGCATAAGTAAAAGAAATTTCATCTCCCGTTATTTAATTTTTGAATATTTATTTAATATTTGTTAAACCAATTTTTGTTTGCCTAAATACCCTATTTTTTCCCTCTTTAAAACATTTTTTCATTAAAATTGCAAATTTGGTAGGTGCTTTCAAAATTGATTGAATCCTATAAAAAAAAAATCTAGTGTGAAACGAGAATCCCCATAGTTTTTAAAAATTCCCCAAAGCAATTCAATTACAAAATTCAGTGATTTTCAGTCTGAGAATTTCAAACGAGTAGAAACGAGTTGAATATCTTGACAGATATTCAATATTTACACGAGAAATATGATTCTGGTTAATTTACCCAAACATTTATTTTAAATTGGCAGGCTCCCGGAAATTCAACAACGACGGTTGGCAGCACAGTTCCAGAAGAAGAGTACCGTAGAATCACCCAGGAACGTCGCCAGGAGTGCCTGGAGTTCCTGTCCCTCAACACAACCTCTCCACCAGGTGAGATTTATACGTTACCCTCATAAATTTCTATTGGATTTTTATGCTTCTCATCTTCTCGTATCTAAACGCTCAGCTCCACCCCTATAAAGAATTCTCGTGGGTTCATAAATTCTCCAACAGTTGCATTGTGCATGAGGTGTCTCTGGCACTCGTGTGAACCAATAGATCAAACCAAATACTTCCGTCCCATTTCCACCATTCATATTCATTTTCATCTTGACTCTCATGTACCTGAATATCAATCGATGAGACTCCAATGCATGACAGGTGTGTAAATGCCGATGGTGGCCTGCTCCATTCTCCAGGAAGTGTTCCGATAACTTTTTAATGCCCCTACCGTACGATAAACCCACTTTCAACCTTTTTATGGGCATGAACCATTAAGAGGGCGAGTCGTAGTGGTGATGGTCCAGGAATCACTATTGACTCCGGAAATATTGATTCTCCCGCCATTCAATTTTCAAACGTTCGGGGCTTAATGGGTGCGGATTAATCTGATTTCAATAGATTGAATCGCGGGCTCGATCTGAACTTAATTTCGATGTTATTCTCCAGCAAGAAATAGCAACAATTCGATTCAAATTTTGATTACGATTTTTCTCTTGGAAGTTTCTCTAAAAACAACATTTCAGAGTTTTTTTTACTGGAATTTATTATTAAGAAATCATTATTCACTCAAGCAAATTCTCCATTCATAAATTCGTCATTCAAAATCAATAAATTATTTCTTCGATACACCGAAAATTCCATAATTTCACAATAAACGTATAACTTGTTTCATTTCATTTAATTCAGGTCGGATTCGTAATGAGATATGATTATTAATGAAAATGAGGAAAAATGACGAATCATGGTAAATGATCAGTCAGTTTTCACGTGTGTTACGTTTTTTGGTGATACAACTGCCCGGAGAATTGCCTTTGTGGTTCGGATAATTAAGTAAATGAGGGTGAGGATGAAAACAATGAGGAAACCGTAGACATCGACAAGGGCCACTTGCCACCAGGGCATGTCGACGATTGGAGATCGGAGGGCGCCTGGACCATGTCTGATGGCATATTCAACCCAATAAATCGCAGTATCCATTGCGCTCATGGGACGGTCCAGAAATCTCATCGATTGCTCCTTCGCTGCCTCTCTGCGAATCCAAAAGAGAATTATGAATGTTCAATTCGTGTTTAGAGGAATTTCTGGGGAAACTGCTACCGAGTTGGAAGAAAATTATTGGATGAATGAATTGAATTGAATTTAATATGAATGTTGAATTCGTGTTTAGAGGAATTTCAGGGGAGATTGGTACGGAATTGGAAGAAAATTATTGGAAATCCGATGGGGAATCAGTTGCCCGATATTTCGAGAGCTCCTCCCACTCTGAGATGGTTTTATCTTTGATATTTTCCCTTCGATAAATGAAAATTCGATGGGGAGTCAGTTTTAGATAATTTCAATGGATTTTGCTGCTGCCCGGGAGATTATTAATATTACAATTAATTAGCAATTAATAAACATTCAGATCTCACTTCGATGTCACTGATATACTGATGTCATGTATAATTGAGCGTTGTTTTCTCCTTGGAGAATAAAACAATGTACGTGAAAAAATTAATATAAATACTTCTCTCACTCTAAGAGATGCTTGCAAAACAATATTTTTATTAACTTCAAATTCAATGTGCATTTTAATGAAAGAAAAGTATGAAAAAATGGTAATACCTGTACGTCGGGTTATGGAGCATTTCATTGACAGCCCAGGAAATGGATTCCTCTTTGAGCTTATGAATATCAAGCTCCAAGGCCATCCCAAGGGAACAGTAATTGACGATATTATTGTGCTGATCCCCAAAGAGGGGAATTCCAATGAGGGGAACGCCGTAGGTGAGGGCCTCCTGTGTACTCATTAAACCTCCATGGGTAATAAACACTCTTGTATTTTTATGAGCTGTAGAAATAAAAAAGATTAATAAAATCTGGTAAGCGTGCGTCATTCGCTAGTTGTGAAATGGCATTCAGCACTTGTAAAAATGTTTGACGACGGGGCTCTGACCTAGCACTGCCACTTGAGGTATCCAGGAAGACGTCATTACGTTATCAGGGAGCCCGGGGAGCAGCGCAGTCTTATTAGCCACTTTCATCAGCACTCTCACTGGCGCTATTCCCCTGAATACCGAGTAAATTGCCCTCATAGTCTCGTCAGGGAACGTTTCAATATTCACCATGGAACCCAGTGTAAAGTAGATTACACCAGAGGTACTATCATTCAGCCACTTCTCCAGTTCCTTAGGAAAAAGAATGAGACATGAATAATCATTTCGTTATCTCAGTGCGATAACGAGGCACATCCTGCCTTCCCCAAACGAGACGAATTTTTGCGATTTTTTACCAAGTTATGCGCAAATTTGATAATTTTTTAGTATTGACATCGACATCAAATTAATCTACTAATTAACATTTTTGGATGGTTTATTTCTGGGGGATTTCCGTCAGTTTCAGAGGAACATAGGAGGAACAGTGTTTTTTAGGAGGAACATCTATTTTTTTTACATCTATTTTGATGTTTAAAACGGCATAACTTCAGGATGAAGACACAGTGAACATATACACCATATACCAACACCACCATTTGAAAATTAATTTCATAAGTTTCAAACTCATAGCACATATACTCTTTAACCGAAAAATAGAAGGCTTTGAGAGGCTAAAGTTTCTCGGCTGACTTAGAGTGATAACGATTTTTAAAAAATTATGCAATAAAATTATGCAATAATTGAGTAATTTTTGTACGTTATATTTTTGTATGCTCTATTTCTCAGTCATTTCCGGCAATCTTGGAGAATAATCCATAATTCTGGGAACAAATCAGAGAGAATAGTGAATTTTACGACGAAACCTCAAGATCTCCAATAAAATCGCAAATTCCACGTAATTATCCCATTTTCCTGTTCTCATAATTGTAAAATTCACGGCAATAGCCGGTCGTCAAAATGCCGCTGTTCCCCCGCCCCCATGAAAATTATTCACAGTGACATTTACCTTCGAAAGTGGAACATAGTTTGCTTCCACATGAAGTCCAGCAACTGCAATAACCCCGGGTGTAACTGGTTGAATGCCATTGAGACTGTGCCATGAATTCACGAGTGCTAAAACGACATCTTTCTCGAGTTGCCGAAGTGGTGGAGTATCAGGATGGATGTACTTCCTCATCTGTTCATTCTGCACGGTTTCCGTGTAATAATCATACCTCAGGTTATTAGAATAAGTCTTGACAGTATTTATCACACGCTCGAGGAAGGACATTGGATGCTGGAGATTCGTGAAGAAAGCAGGAACAAATGCTGGATACTGAGGCTGTCCTAGACTGGTCTCCAACCACGGCAGGGGAATTGTGGAACTCACCATTATCACTGGGACATTCAACACGTGGCCAAGACCGATAAAACAATTAGCTCCGAACGACTGCAATTTCAATGGATTAATTCAATCAAACGTAACTCATCATTTAAAAAAATGTTTGCCTGCAGTCGTCGCTAAACCCAGATCCCTTGATCCTATTTTCCTGACTTTTCCCTTTGAATGGAAGAATTTCCATTTGTCAAATGCAGGTGTTACTACTCAATTGTATCAGAGCAACTAGTTCGAATTGAAAACATAAATGATGGAGAAATAAGAATCCAATATTCAAACTATTGCAATGCGTGTGGAATTGACAAATACTCGTTTATTAAAAGAAACGATTACAATATCGGGAGGATAAAAATGGCACGCAAAAACGTCGAAAACTTGAATTTATGAATGAATCATTGCAGGCAAACAAGGGGAGCGCTAACTTTAGAGAAGAGATTTTGGAGAGGGAAAGAAATTGAAGATCTCAGAAGGGAAAAGACTATAATTTGTAACAGTATTTTCCTTTAAATGAATCATTAAAATCTGCTAAAAAATTACTCAATTACCTCAACCATGAGCAGATCATATGGGGGGTCTTGTGGTGGATTTTTGATGATCTCCTGCATCTCCGGAAGTGCCAAATACTCGCACAATCCATTTCCAAACGGCAGAGCTATAATTGGAAGTGTATCTTGCCCAAGTTTTGACGCAAATTCCACATTCCATTTATTAACGAGACTCTCCTGTTTCCCCTCGAGATTCACAACGACTGTGTAATTTTTGGGGGGTTTCTTGAGGGGATAAACCGTCGCGACGTCCACCAGGTGCCCCTTGTTCACCAGTCCCTTGACCAAAGCATCAAACATCATTTGATGACTCCTCGATTGAAAGGGAAAAATCGCCAAAATTCTGTGCGATTCACTTTCCATCACAGAGTTAATCACCAAAAAATTAATTATTAACACCAAACATTTCAGTTCCATGGTGACTCCACAATTACGACAATTAATAGATTGTGAACAATTGAAAGAATTTATTTTATTGTTTAGGAATTATTCAGAATTAAATTGTCTTATTATTTTTTCTTGAATTATCTTCGCGTATGTTTCCGTCAGTGAAATCTTCCTCGTGATATTCACCTCGTATCACGCAACAGCTAATGCACGCTGTCTTGCACCGAACCCCATCACTGATAACTGCAAACTGAACAGATGTCCCCTACGTGGCGGGATCTCTCTTGATGAGCACGTGGCAGTCAGAAGTCCAGTGACATGACAATCCTTGTCCCCAAGAGAATCCACTCAATTTTGTGAGTAATGCGTCTCCACTCTCTTGAAGATAACAAATACTAGGGGAATTCATTTTTCGGATGCTATCTAATCTTTTTTATGATAACAATAATTAATTTTCGTCATTGTACTCAATGTGAAAGAATTCCACTGGCTCGCAGATCAAATAGTTCGCGATTTTCATATATCAATTATTAATTCTATAATGGATTTCTGTACTGAGTTCCAATATAACAATGAAATTGAAATCGATATTCATAATTCACTTGAATTCTTATCAGAAATCCTTTTATAAATTTGAATCTGTTTTGTGACAATTTCTGCAGA